GAAAGTTTCTGCTTTTTGTGCTTTTCTTTCAGCTCTCTCCTTATCTCCATGGGGATAACACAGGGCAGAGCAGCCCCCAGGGCTTGGCCACTTGCTCCCTCCCTTCACTCCTTAAGATTTCACCCTGGGCTTTGGTGGTGCCTCTGTAAAACGATGCTCAGTGCTTCTTTTTGTCCCAAAAGTTGGGTGGAGAAATAAAAAATGGCAAAAAAACCCTCCCCAAAAGGCAGAAATCCACAAAGATGGATGTGGAGAGGTGACACGGGGCTGCCAGGGTGGGGGGTACCTGCACCCTAGGACTTTGTGCAGCAGGGAAAGCCCCCACCCTGCAGGGCCAGGTCTGCAGAGCCCCCGGGGCTGCACCCAGGGGTGGGTGCTGAGGGTGGGTGCAGAGGGCAGGCCGGGCACCCTGCAGCACACAGCACAGCCCAGGGGGGTGGCAGGAGGGAGGGTGGCATTAGCAGTGTCCCTGGCAGGAAACCTGCCTCTACCTCCTCCCCCAGGAGCAGGGGCTGGCTGGTGCTGAAGGTCCCACAAGGAGATAAACTCCCCCAAATTCACTCTTCTAAAGCTCACAATTATTCAGAGGCAGCTAAAATCACCCCTCAAAATTCCCCAAACCTTGGGTTCTGAGGAAGCCTCTTTCCTCCTCCCACACCAGTGCCTTCCACGTGCCTCCCAGTGCAGCTCTGGCCCAGGAGCACCTAATGTTACACCTAGGAGCAATTAATTGAGCAGCACAGTAATTATGACCCTGGCCACCCCTTCGTGGTCCTGGTCCGTGTGACCTATAGCAATGCCTGTAGCCCTATGGAGCAACCAGCAGCTGGTGTAGGGTAGAGCTGTAGCAGAGCTGTAGTAGAGCTGTAGCAGAGCTATAGTAGAGCTGTAGCAGAGCTGTAGCAGAGCTGCTGGCAGGGATTTCTCCTGGGCTCCTGAGAGCTGGGGCTTGGCACAGTTTGTGCCCTGAGGGGTTAAACGCTGGGCGGGCAAACGAAAGGACTGTCTGTGGAAATTCGAGCCCGGGGGGTTGGAGGAGGAGGAGGAGGGAGGAGGAGGAAGGAGAGGGAGGGTCTCCACCAACAAGGAGCAGGTGGGAGCTGCCCCCGGAGCTGCTGGGGCAGGGGATTGGAGCTGGCTGCAATAAGAGAGAGCTGCCCACCCCCTCCAGCACCCAGCACCCCCCCGGCTGGGTGCGGTTAGGAGCCAGACCCCGGCCCAGGTGGGAGGAAGGCGGAGGTGCGTGGGGGGTGATGCTGCGGGGCTGGGTGTCCCCCGGGGCGGCTCCCGGGCACCGTGCTGGGGGGGAGGGCACGGCTGGCAAAATACCGGGTGTAGTTGGGGGGATTTTTTTTTAGCTGGAGGTCTGGGGGGAGCTGCGTGGTCTCCACGGAGGGGGGTGGTCCCTCCTTGCTCTCTGCCAGGGCTGGGCGCCCCCCGAGGCGGCTCCCGGGCACCGTGCTGGGGAGGGGGTGGGAACAGCTGTCAAAATACCGGGTGTAGTTGGGGGGCTTTTTTTTAGCTGGAGAGCTGGGGAGAGCTGCGTGGTCTCCAT